TCACAGTTCTAAGACTTGCTGTTCTTTATGTTTCTAAGGAAGGACTCAATAATCACAGATTTAGCAGATTTAGCAGTTCCAGACAGCCAGATTTGCTTTTCCATAAAAGGATTCAGGAGATATATGCAAGGGTATCTTTGCAGCAAATCTTGTACTTTGGGGGCTTATTTTAATCACTTAAAAAATAGTCACACTCCAAATGACCTCCGGGAGCAGCCACTTGGCAGGGTGAGTGAATAATACAGAGCAAAGCCCCAACATCCTGACACACACACGTGATGGCAAGAAAAGAGACTCTCAGGCTCAGACTCCACAAATCCCCTGTGATACAGAGAACGGGGACGTGATTTTAACCGTGAACTAGCAAATGCCCTTTTTCTTAGTGTGTGTGTGTGTGTGTGTGTGTGTGTGTGTGTGTGTGTAGGGGTTTTAATCAAGACCAGACAAATAATGCATGACGGAAAACAAGGCACTGTAAGTATTTCCTTGGACTCCAGCCATGCCAGCCAAGAGCCTGATTACATGTTGAGCAGACTCACATACACTGCGAAGAAGGGGAAAGGTTATAGCAAACCTCTTACTTCAGTGTCCCTGAATGAAGAATAGAATTGAAATCATTAGAAAAGACTTGCTCACAGATAGGCTACTCTGTAGTCAGCACATTCTGACATCTTAAAGCTTCTGCAAAATCCTATTTGATGCAGCATTTCCAATATGTTGATTTCCTTTAGGTCAGCTTTAAAAATCTCAAAAAATGTTCGGTAAGACGAACTCCAGGGTTAGGGCTTCATGCAAACCCAAGAGGCAACAATCAAGGAGGCCAGGAGCTGGTAGGAATGAGGGAGGGCATCATGTGGTCTATGCCCTCCAGGGCGCATCTCCTCTGGGTGACGCATTAAACAGTAGGCACAGGCTTTTATGGTTCCATTGTTAAAAATCTCAGCATCAACAGTATCTATACCGAGGATACAACTGCTGGCTGCCTGAAGGCAATGAGAAAAACTATTTCTGTTTCCATACAATCCTCACCACCCACTGACCTACAGTAATTAAACTATTCTGTTTATTTCCCCCCCCATAATACTGGAGATTGAACCCCAAGGGCACTGAATCACTGAGGTTCAGCCCATCCTTTTATTTATTCATTTATTTATTTAAATTTTATTTATTTATTTCATACATGACAACGTGAAATGTGAGACCGAGTCTTGCTAAGTTGCATAGACTGACCTGGAACTTGAAACCCTCCTGCCTCAACCTTTTGGATAGCTAGGATTACAGGTGTGCACCACCACATCTGGCTCAAGCTATTAATTGTTCAAGTAATTCTGTTTTCTCAATACAAAAAAAAAGATGCCTTTAAATAGCTTACTCAGTGTTGGAGTTTCCACATTGTTTATGAGTTTGATACAAGGACTCAGTTAAGCTATTAAAAAATAAAAAGGCAGGACAAGATGATGTCCTGTCTGTAATCCCAGTGGCTCGAGAAACTGAGGCAGGAGTAGGGCAAGTTGAAAGCCAGACTCGGCAAAAGCGAGGCACTAAGCAACTCAGTGAAACCCTGTCTCTAAATAAAATACAAAACAGGGCTGGGGAGGTGGCTCAGTGGTCCAAGTGCCCCTGAGTTCAATCCCCAGTCCCCCCTGACCCCCTAAAATGATGATTCCTATTGGCAGCTTGTGGACCCCCATGCCACCATGGATAGTAAGATGCCATCCCACTAGGCAGCCCGTCATTCCACAGGAAAGCTTTGAGGAAAACGGCTTATTCTCTGAGGCTCATCAAGCCCCAGTCTTTGCCAGGGATGTCAATTGGACTCTAACTTACTGCTTATTGGACAGATTTCTCTTTTGAACTGAAACAATTCTAAAGAGTCCTGAGGTCCACGGGAAGCATTTCTGTTCTCACTGTGAACCCAAGCAAAAAGTCTTTATGTTCATTCTACTTTATCAGCCAATCCCTCTGCAGTTGTTTTTACTACTCCTGCTATGAAAAGAGCATGATATGACAGAAGAAAGGCCACAACAGCAAACTGTATGCTTGCTAAAAAATGAAAGATCAAGTACAACAGCCAGCAGAAGGACTCCAGGGAAAATAACACTATATACATTCATATATGATCAGAAAAGAGTCAAATAATATTCCTTGGACAGATTACTCCTGCTGTCGTTTTAACTCTGAAGGTCCCCCACAGGTCCATGTCTTAAAGATCTGTTCCCCAGGTTGGCACTATTAGAAGATGGCAGAATGCTTAAGGGATGGAGCCTAATGGGAGGTCTTTAGGTCAATGAGCGCTGCCCTTGAAGGTCACTGTGGGAGCCTGGCCCTTCCTCACGCTCTTTTACTCCCTGCCCTGAGGTGAATGACTACTACTCACCATGTGCCACTGCCATGATGTGTTTTCTTTCCACAAGCCCAAAGCTTTGGAACCAACCAATCATAGACTAAAACCTCTCAAACTGTGAGCCAAAATAAATGATTTTCTCTTTGTAGGTCAAAAATCTCAGGTTTCTTGTTAAAGTGTCAGAACACTGCCTAACTTTAAAATCTCACCAGGCATGGTGGCACACACTTGTAATCCCAGCAGCTCAGGAAGCTGAGGCAGGAGAATCACAAGTTCAAACCCAGCCTCAGCAACTTAGCCAAGACCCTGACTCAAAATAAAAAATAAAAAAGGACTGAGGATATGGCTCAGTGATTAATTGTCTCTGGGTTCAATCTCTGGTACAAAAAAGAAATATATATATATATATGTATGTATATTTATTTATGTATTTATTTCCTCAGTACCTTTGTGTGCTGCTTAAACATCTCTGTGGCAATCCAGTGTTTTCCAAGATCTGGAGTAAGACTGGTTCAAATTCTACCTTCACCATTTATGTGTAGTCTTGGACATGTTTTTAATAAGTTCTGTGCCTTTGTATCCTCATCTGATAAATGGGAATAATAATCCAGTTGCTATAAGGATTAAATGTGTTAATACATGCAAAGCACTCAGAATGATGCTTAATAAAGCTATTATACTCACGATAGTACAAAACTGATTTCACATGTATTATCACAGTTGATCTCATAAGCACTTTATAAAACAGCAGTGATGGTTTTATCCATGTTTTGTTGGTAAGCATAATGAGGCTAAGTTACTTATATCAAAAAAAAAAAATCTGTGGATGAGCCAAGATTTGAATCCTGGTCTGTTGACATCAAACGTGGGATTCTTTCCCATTACACCCAATTATTTACACGTACAGCACAGCAAACATACCACCATAAAATATTGACATTAGATGCATTTAGAACATAAGGAAACAAATGAGAACAAATAGTATCTACTCTAGGAGTTTATTCTTCTGATAAACATATTAACTGATCAGTTCATGTAAAGACTAGCTAGAAAAGTGAAAGCTGATTTTTTAGACTCATTACAATAGCAATTTGGAATCCCAAAAATTCTGAAATGGGAGGAGGAGGAGAAAGTCTCAACAAAATGTATTCTTCATTCTAAATTTTACTTTTGATGAAAACAGATAAATTTTCATCTTGAGAAAATACACGGAAATGCAAAACTTCAGAATGGTGGAATAAATCCTCAGAAAGGGAACCAGAAGGCTCAAATATCTTAATATGCAATTTGCCATCTTAATGCTACTTTAATTCATGGACCAGCAGTGGACTTTGTAGTCACTGATATATTGATGACATTCAGGCTTTAGCTTCTTAGATCTACAAGACAAAATCTTATCACTAGAAATCCTTATCCACATGCAAGTGTTATGAGACAAGCAGAAGATTGGTCAATATAAATAAATAACTGACACATATTCCTTCATTCCTAATGAATTTGTATAAGTTTGAGCATTTAAATGGATCCCTAGGGGAATAATTCTCTCATGCCTAACACTCTTTGTAGTATTAGCATCTATTCTAATTCATTAAGTTTAAATGTGTTAGCCTTCAAGAACTTGCATGAGTCTTCTATTTAAAAAGATCAATCTCTTAATTTACGAATCCAGTTTTGATTTTAAGATGAACTCCATATACAAATCATTCAAATTATCCCTCAAAATTAAAAAAGGCATTTCGATAGTCACATTAAAAAATAAACTTCAAGCAAAGATAGAAATGTTAAAAATGATCATCTTAAACAAGACACTGTTAAACTATGAAAGACTAGAAATCACATTGTACTTTTGATCAGTGTTTCTTTTTTTAATCAGTTCACCATGGGTCCTGTCAAATCTTTACAAAAGTCTCACAAGGCCCTGAAAGCTAATACCTCCTTTCTGTTCATCTCACCTTAAAATTCCCACTCATCAGGGACTGGGGAAATAGCTCAGTTGGTAGAGTGCTGGCCTTGCATGCACAAGGCCCTGGGTGCAGTCCCCAACACCACACACACACAAAAAAAAATGTCATTCATCCATGTGGATAGATGTGTATTTCACAGCTAAAGAGACCTCCCTTTCATTTTAATTGTAAAATTATATTTTTAATACAAGATACATAATTTTCTAGATATGTGCACCCTAAAGCCAACAAGATGATGATATGTCATACCTGAGACTTACATTGTAAAATCTATAATATTTAAATAAGTCTCAGTGAACATTCCTGAAACACAGAATCATAAGATATTACTCACATCATTGACCTCCACACCGTACATGCATGAGGCTCTACAACATAGGGCAAAATTGAAAACACATGACTGAAATGCATCATTATGCAAAGCAAATGATACTGAAAAAGTAGAAAGCCCGAATAACCATTGACTCTTCAAAGATAGATTTTATTCTGTACTTTGTATCCATGATTAATTCTTCCCAGCACAAACCTTGGTCCAGCTTGAGATCAACAAGCGCATGCTTGCTGGGTAAATGACCCAGGTCTCTGTGACTTGAGCAAAATGCATGCTTTGGATCCCCATGGTGTGGCACACACACCCCCAACTCCCTGATTGGTCCCTGTGAAGTCACAGTCCTACCCAGACCCACCCTTACCTGTTTGCCATCCAGAGTGTACAGGCGCTTCACCACTCCCGAGTCCAGCTTGATGGCATCGGTTATGTCAGTGAGGACTTGCTCAAAGGAATGAGCCGTCTTCTTGTTCAGCAGAATCCTGACAGCTTTCCGCGGCTTCACTCCACTCCTGATGATGGTGACCAGCTTAGGCCGAATGAAATCCTTATTCTCACGCACCTCCGAAGGGCTGCCTTTGGCAGTGGCCAGTGAAGACACTGCCCTGGAAGCTGAGGTGGTCTTGACATTCACTGACCAGTTGGGGTTCACATTCTTGGTATACTCCAGTTTCTTGAAGGGCTCTATTGAGCCGCACACATAACTCTCTCCTAAGAAAGAGAGAAATAGATTTAAACCGACACTAAGCTAAACTTATTTCTTTTTTTTTTTTCCTATTTTGTCTTTCATTTCTCTTTTTCCCCTTATCGTCAAAAAAGAAAAAATGCTGCAACTTTTCATACAATACTGGAGTGATGAATAAGGAATGAAAAAGAAAGATTTCCAACTTCTCATCTGGTTCTCTCGGCAACAGATTGGAATCTTGGAAAAACAAAAAGTATTCCTCCTTTTCTTTGTCTTGGAATTAGTGACAGAAATATTGTTTTGCTTGAATCAGCCTAGAGAGGTATGAAATTGAACTCAAAATAGAAAATATTTGGGGGGACTTAGGAGTATAAAATGTGTAGAAAATTTCAAAATCAGAGGTCTCGTGCTACCTGAGATAATTTAAAATCTGAAAGTGGATCAAACACATCTTCTTAAAATAGTTATGAATTTATAAATGTATTGAAGTATATGCTAAACATTCCATAGCCAAGTAGCTTCCTAAACTGACTCTATAATAAAAATAGTTAAATTTGTATTTAAAATGACTCTTTAACATTTTTTTTAATTTAAAAGAAATAAAATGACTCTAACAGAGAATCTTTAAATGAAAATACTCAGGCTGTTAGGATGTGGATAACACACAAAAGAAACTAACACATGTACCAAAAAGATGATAAGTTATAAAATGGCTGTTCTAAATACAGATTTCATAAAGTTAAGTAAAAGCATTTTGCAATTGAAGATTTTATAATGGATTTTTTATGTGTTAATGTATTTATAACCAGGAAAAATGCTTAAAAAGCCTACATAATTGCAAGTAAAGTGACCTAGACCTCATCTAACACAACCCATTTACTTTTATCTAAATCCTTGGCCTATTTTTAAATTAATGGTGCAAGCATGCAGGGCCACAGAATTAAGGATCCACAAAAAAATAACAGAACCAACCAGTGTTTCAAAATTAAGAAAGGATAGCTACATATTATCAAACATTTATTTTGAAATTTTTTAAAAAAATATTTCATTCTAATGTGTTACATATAAGTTATGTATCACCAGAAATTGCACATAACAGTATAAGTTAACTAACCCCCAACCCCTGGCAGAGCATCACTTGCCCTAACTATGTTTTCATCAGGATTTAAGCAGATAGCAAAAATATATATGAGAGTGCCACAACAGTGGCATTTTTTAATGCTCATTGGAAGAGGATCATGAGTGTAACAGTGGGAAAGAGGTCATCAGAAATTTTAGCTCAAGACTTGGCCTCTCCAAGCATGTGACCATGGACAAGTCCCTAGATGTCTGAGTAGTAGTTTGTCTGTAAAATAAAACCTCACTGGGCTTTTATGAAGGGCAAATTAGATAGTAGAGGGAATGGGGATATAGATCAGGGGTAGAGTACTTGCTATCTTATACAAGGCCCTAGGTTCAATCCCTAGCATTGAGAAAAAAATAAATTAGAGATCAAAGTGACTTCAACTACACATTGCAAGTGAGAATGACTTGAAGTGGCGTTACCCTAATTGTGCATAAGCTTGAAAGGAAAAGTAAAAACTAAATTACTAAAATCTAAATTACTAAAAAAGGTCTTATGTTATTAGTTATTAATTGTTCTTAAACATGGTTAGCAGGGATATCACACTGGACCCACCTCAATGAGAATGTTCCTAATATTCCTCCCCAAAAGTACAAAGCCCATAGCATCCCTGGATAAGCCAGCCTTTGTCACAGTTCTGTGCTAACTGAAGATATGCAATTGTATGGTTATTTGTAAGTTTTGCACACTAAGGTAATTGCTAAAAGCATAGAGGGGTTGGCATCTCAACAAAGAAAACTTTTAACTTTAGAAAAACAGTTGAGTTAGAAGAGGGTGGAATTTTAAGAGTGTAACAATATTGAATGGACTTGGAGGAAAAACACATTCATATTCTTAGATAAAGTACACTGAAAGTCTTCAGAACCACTATGAAGCATGTAGATTGGACTCAAGCAACAAAAAAATAAAATAAATGGACATTAATCTGTGCTGTAACTGTGAGCTCCCCTGCCTTCATTGCCCACTAGCGTGGGAATCATGGAGAAGGACATGAGGCTCCAATAAAGGATGATGGTGGGCTAAAGGAGGAGGAATCCAAGATCAGACATCACATGGTGCTCAGTCATCTAGAGTTTGCTCCACTTTTCAGAATTTCAGGAAAAGCTAGCATGGATAGTGTTCATTGACTGTGCAAATAAATTTACAACAAAACTATTTGGCTCCACATTTTTACTTTTACCTTAACTGTAATTTTGAACTTCTCTCTACCACTAAAGATGTGGTCTCTACCTTAACTCAGTTAAATTAAAGTTGATTGTGTTTCCTGATATTTTTTTTTT